TCGTGGGCGTATAGAATATTGGTGTTCTAGCTGATTGGCAGTTTGTGAAAGCTATTTCTAAGTCATGTCATCAATTTGTTTTCCTCGATGCATTTGTTCAAATGTTTAATAACCCTTTCCTGCGTGTTTTTTTACTATCGGTAGCCTGAGAGGTTTGTAGTGAACTCTGTTGTCGAGTTGCACTTTGGCTTCTTCTATTTTTTCCGTCTCATTCATGATGACTGTTGTGGTACCTTTGTCTACTTTTTTGAAGTTAAAAGCAGAGCTGTTTTTCAACTCTTTTAGAGCTGTGATCTCATTGCGTGAAAAATTATTTTTTAGTTTAGTTACAGTAATCTCTGCAAGTTGTGCTCTGACATTTTCCAAGTAGCTCTTAAGTGCAATAGAAGGCTGAACCGGTGGCATCTAGTTTGATTTAACATGAAACGGATGTGGTTCTTTGTTTTGTCCGTGAAAGATGTATTGGAAGCGCATTCGTCTTGCGAATTGTTCAAAACCTCGCAAGAGTTGTTGCATTCGTTTGTCACGGGTGTTTGGTTAAATTTGAGACCCTTTGATAGCACGTCTACGTGACCGTCAGCACGTTAATAGTTTGAGAGATTTTTTAGCAAATTTTAAATTTGTCTCCCTTTCTTGGCTGAAAGCCTACATTTTGAAGTGTTTCTACGCTCTTTGCGTCTTGTGCTTTTTGTTCTGCTCCGCTGTTGTTAAAGCCAGCCTTTATAGAATCAGAGAACAAACTGTTTTACTTCCCATCTCTTTTATTTGCAAGGGTATAAATTAACTCTTTAAGGTCAGAAATATCATTCCTTAATTCGGTTATTTTATAACTGCTTTTTACAATGTTCGCCAAGTGCTTTCCTTTGAGCGGTTGCCTATTTACATGTTTGTTCTTACGAGCCGAGAGTTCGTAGTTAGCTCTTTTTCTTTGGCTCTCGAGCCTTCTTTTGTGAAAACTAGTCAAGACATCAACTAAGCCTTGTTGAGCTTGTTGTTTTATTTCTTTTACTTCTCTATCGAAGATCATGTCCGGTGTGATATTTGGCTTCGCCAAATACTGCAAAGAGATCGGACAAGTGCGATTTGCTAAATGTTTCTCAAGTTTTTCGATAGATTGTTCCGCTTTGGCTATTTTAGCCCCCACAACATTTAGATCTGTACATTTTCTCTTTAAACCTATCTTTGGAAGGAATTTGTTTTGGTGGGCAGCACATTGAATCTTTAAAATAGACGTCTGAAAGATTAGCTTGGCCACTGAAGTACTTGAGTAAGCCATGGTTGCGTATTATTGTCGGAACGTGGGAAACAATTTCCTGCTTTTGGGTTTTTGGAAGCCAGTTTGAGTTGTTTTCATAATTTTCAAGGTTAGGGATATTCCCTTTACCTTCTCAAACTTCGTCTTTTAATGTTTAAATTTGAGAAATCTGGAGAGAGAATTTTGTGAACGGTGTTGTGGGCTTTTCAAGGCGCGGTCGCATTAAAATTTGTCTGTTTCGGGGGTTATGAATAACAAATGAAGTCTGGGCATTTTTCGCAATGTTGTGCATCGTTCTTATCTAGACAGAGATTATGTTAAGGACCGTTTGCCGGCCATTGATGGGTCTGTTATTCCTAGCCCTTTATTCGGGTGTAATTGGCTGTTTGCTTATCTTTCTCGATCCTTTCGTTTATACTCCATTTAAAATCATTCAGGAGCTCATCGTTAATGGTATACAGCACACTTGCAGAAAAATAACAAAGAGGGAAAGGGATAAGCGTGCTCCGCATCGAGAGAAATCGAAATTTCGTTTATACTAATAAGAGTTTCTCTTTACAGATGTATTTTGGAGGTATTCGCCGTGGAAGCGATAACGTTCCTAATTATGTAATGGGAAAGCGGTGACTTTGATATAGCTGTTACTGAAGCATTTGGAGAGGGCAAGCCGGAGAACAGAAACTGATATCAGGGAACGCATTGAGGAGTTCGCACTCTTCTGGCATCCTGATACGTTCCTTCCTGGTTTTGACAAAAAAATACTGCTGTATCATTCTGACTAGATTTCACTCCCATGATTTCATGAGTAATTCTCCTTACCATTTGCCATATAATTTGTGTGATTTTAGTTTGGAGAATTTGGAATTGGATCAACCAAGAATCCCCTTATAGATATTTTTCTTTATTCTCATTACTTATCTGCTTGACATCGTACTGATAATGTAAGGAGAAATTCTGGCTTGGTCACTAGTGGGACTTAAAGGGTTAAAGGAGGTTTATCATTCGTGACGCTTAAAAAAATTTGGCTCAATTATTCCAAGTCCATCATTCACAATTTGTGCCTATGTTATTCCTGAACTGCCCCCTGGCCCCGTTAATTTTTTTTTCGTTTTATTTGTGTATTTCGAAGTCTGCTTTAACTAATGGTAACTTTAATAAAGCTAAATAATGAAGTAAATCAGAATACAAAGAGATCCTATAATTACTGAACAAGCAAACCAAATAATGCATACTACAAACTGAAAATAGCCTCTCTGAAATTTAATTAAATAGAATCTGTCTCAATTTAGCTAAATCTGTTATCTGTGCCATAAACACTGACTGAGTGGAGGGCCAAACGGGAAAATAATTGGCTCGAAGTCATGCGCTTGGTTCGTACGTCACGTACGAAAGCCAAATAATTTCCCCTTCAGCCCGACTTATCTCAGTCAATAAGCATTTTATCATATGTCAACTGACTAAGCTTAAAAAAATTCGAAAAGTTTGTTTCAACTAAATAGGACGCATGCGACTGGTGCGCGCGGGTAAACCACAAAATAGATTCTTGACCAGGGGCTTAATGATAAGGCAAAAACAACTCCGAGCGGTAACTTTGAAAAAAAACCTTGGTAATTTGATAATGTTACAAGTCTCGGAGGGAGATTGAATGGAGACTGAATTTTTTTTAGGATTGGTTTTTGAGGTGCATTTTGTGATGCGAGACATTCCAACCGCCTGTAGACAAGTAATTGATTTCTCAATTCTAGAACAAAATTTCCTAGTGAGGGGGCATTATGCTTGTGGGAGGAAATTTTGTGGGCAAAATGGTTGATTTAACGTCCCACTGCCACGCTTTCGACTCCCATCGGGTATGGAACTGATACGAACCGCTCGTCGAGGACACCGGCACATCTGAGGCTTAAAAAGATGACTATATATCGTAGAAGTAGTGAATTGTAGAAATTGAAGCTAACTGGGTTAGGCTGAAGATAGAACAGTTTAATTATCAGTTTAACTCAATGGTAGTAACGGAGGTTTGTTTATCCTCATGATGCTACGAGTTCAGAGACTGTTATGCCGGAAGTCATACATGCATCCTCCGGAAAGGAATTTAGCACCCGTTCTTAATGGAGGGAGAGAAAGAAAACAGTCGGAACAACACAACCCACGTCGATTTGGGTTTGGAGGGGAGTATTGTGGTCTTTTTGGCCGTCGGCAAAAAACTTATCAGCCTAACATATTTCTCGTTTTTGATCGATGTGATAATCATTTCTCTAAAAATTAATCCATGGACCCTAAGACATGACAATTTGTGCGACCTGTTTTACTTAAGGAAGGAAACCCTGGAGTTTAAAACCCAAGCTGTAAAATGCGAGGAAAAGTTCAAAGAATTCCTTGAAGTAGCGTCCAGTTGTCTTTTTCACGTGTGAGTTCTCCATTTTCTCTCCCACGCACGTTTGAATAGAATGTTAATATTTGTTGAACGATTCGCCTAATGCGAGTCAAACATTTCAGTTAATAAACACTTCAGTTATGCATCTGAGTTCAGATCGGATGCACAGATCACACGATCGACCAAGTATGTAGAAAAGGAGGAACAAATTCAGCAAAATCAATAACAGCAATGCCGAAACAACAATAAATACGAAAAAGGAAGCAACATCTGTCAGTCCAAGGGGTAATTTTCCTTTCTACAGCAAAGGTGGTCGGCGTCTCAACGCTCACCTATAAAGCAGGCATTAGTGATAAATTATTTCCGGTAAGGCGTTAAACATATCTTAAGCTCAATTCAAGTGATATGAAATAAGTGGTTTATCGTGTTTACCTGGGAGACAGCGGCATAGCTTTCGTGCTTTTTTCTTTTTGTGGTACATTTTTTGGTACATTTTTGCCCTTAAGGACCGAGCACACAATCGACGAATTTTTGTCAGATGGAAAACAACTTTTATTTACGGTTGATAATTTCGAATGCGATTTTTTCCCATTTTACGTTTAAATCAAGAAAGTTATTTTAATGTAAAAAAAGCTCTTGGATTGAAATAAAGAGTAATAACCTAGCTATATCCGTGCCAATAATTAAGACTTTTTTGATAAACTTTTCTGGGATAGCTTTTACGGAAGTGGCAAATTTCTATGAGACATTAAATTCTTTAGCAGTTACATGTTTGGTATTTCAAAAGCGAATGAAATGGTATAAAAGAACGAGCTGGTGTAAAAGAATCTATTCCGACTCCAACTTGGATTGATCTTACTAAAACTACTTATATAGAGAGAAAGAGATCTGACAACATGGAATTTAGAGATATTTTTGTGGTAAGTGTGAAGTCAGTATCATTACTTACTTTTAACAAAGGAAGGTTCTTTTTCACGTCAACTGTTTTAAGTTTAACTTTTAAATTTTGTTTTCGTCTTCTCACATAATGAAATTTGTGGCCAAGGAAATTCATAGCTGCTTCAGTTTTCAAACACACCAGCTAAGCTTTTTTGCGTATTGATTTTGAAGACTCAGTGAGTTTGCGATCGGCCAATTGTTACCGTACAATCTAGTAATTTAGCTATCATCTACCAATGTTAAAAAAAAGGTTTAAATAAGACATGGTGTGATGAAAACTTATGAGACGAGGATTAACGTGGAAGGGTCACTTCCAAACATGATTAATTTTTTCTTTCTTTCTCACATAGACTGCTCTTGTCTGTTTGTTGGTTCATGTGGAATTTGGCGAGTCAAACACACGCAAAGATAGGAACATTTATTCGGCTCTCTGTCGAACGTCTCTTCTTCCAACTAGTGGCTGTCTTCTGAAGATTCAAAGTTGCTCAGCTGGTGCGACTACGTGTAAAGTAAAAGTTCGTGGTACTCTTACGACAGATCCGGCAACGAGTGAGTGAGGAGCGACACCAGCAAAATCTTTGATATGCTTAAATATTTTAGACTTTAAACCGCCTAAAAAATTCAAGCTAAAGCATATTTTGAAAGCATGGTTAGAAAAGAAAACCTCTTAAGTTTAAAAGAAGGATTAAATTTAATATGAAATTTGTCAGGGAGTGGGTGGTCATCTGGTAACTTACAGAATCGTAAATCCCAAATAGTTGTAATGGATTATAAACAACCTCACATTGAACGTAATATATTAAATGCATGTAAAGCTGTTTTTCTAATCAAAGTTGCTATTTCTTTTTTAGGATTTACCATTGTTACTGTTACGGCACAAGATGGAACAGTAGGAAAGTGCATTGAATTCACCACAGCTAGCCAAGTTAAATATGCTTTGAAGGTCGACACTACGACTAATATAATTTTTGAGGTGAGTAGATACTACGTGACTGACACAAGACAGAGCTGACGCTGTAGATCTGTGTAACCCGTTATAGTAAAACTGACTCTGAAACACAGAAAAGCTGTTTGTACGTAATAAACAAGCTTAATTGGCAGACTTTGGAAATGTTTGCTCTTTTTTCCATATTTATGCTCATATCTGAATAAAACTATAGCTTAATTGATCAGATAGTCATTTAGCGAAGAGGCGTGTTATCTTTTTCACTTTACTCAATTTTGCAAGCGATTCTCGTGCTAATGTTTCGGTGGAAATCCTCTTCTGAGTTATAGGTGGAGTTTTTTTAGTTGTCCTCTTAGTAGAAGACATTTCAATACAGAAACACTCACATGTAGTACCCAAGTAGTTAAAAAAGTAAATAAAAATGTAACCTTTAGCCTCTTTAGCACGGAACTCCAAAATTTGCAGCGATCTCGTTCAGTCTCTGCTGGCCTAAGCAAAGAGGCATGAAATGCTGGTGCCTTTTGCACTATTACGAAATATTGCCATTGACTCTTATTTGTTTTTTGCATTCGCAGAAACAGCACAATGGCTGTGATAACGGAATCCCTGATGACTTCATTTTCAAAGAAGCGAGAAAAATCCCTCGCCATTTCACATATACACACAATGCGAAGTGTCTTGGTACAAACATTGATGGCGCCTTGTCCTTAATGAATATTAATGATAAAAGATGTAGGTACCGTCTTTTTAAGTGGACTTGAATTTAAAAAAGATACTTTGCCTGTCTAATGCCCTATTCACACCAGCAAAACACGTTTAGTTAAACCAGTTTTAACTAATCAAAAGCCAGCTACTAGAAGTTGGAGGTTTAAATTTTTCATAGGATTCCAGTAATCACCAGCTTTTATTTCTTTTATGCGTGTTTGTGCTAAAATTTGAAGTCAGCAAAAATCATTTTTGGCAGCTTCTATCAAGAAAACGATTTCAAATATTTGTCGATAAATCAGCTTTAAAACGCTTGCAACCATGAAAGCTTCGGTGTGAATGGGTCATAAGATTGTAGCGCAAGATGACAGTGGAACACTAATTAATCCTGATGGAAAACTTTATACAGAATGCAAAGCTTTCTCTCTTATTTTTTCTGTTGTTGTTATTGATGATTTCTTAAACATTTCCTGTAAGTTTCCTAGCGACTTATGTTTTCGTTAGTATCTAGTTTATATGCACATTGACAAGACAACCATAGTATCAAAAGTGAAAACAATTATTATGCAACTTATTGATCGATCATAGGTAGTCGGATTTCTTCCCTTACTGGTCTTGAATTGAAACTGAAACTGAAAACTGAGCTTTTATTTACGATGTTAACCAGCCTTAAGCTGAGTTTAAAAATGCTTGCAATAAAAATTTAATTAAATCTCGTACAGTTCGTAGTTTTCCAGCTATGTGTTGTAATCACCAAGAGATTTGCGGAACGGGGGCACCTCTAAAACGCTATAAAACTTTTCGGTTTTGACACAAAAAATTCCTTTTTAACAACGATCTCAGAACTAAAGTTGCAGTTAAGTTTTAAAAAATTTCTACGAAAACGGAAATCTCCCCTTCCCTTAACAGAGTGGTGCCCAACTCATCAAAATTTATCAAACACAAATTCGACTTTCTAACTTGAAGGCCACGCCGTCAAATGAGTTAGCGAGTCTAAGTAATGTTGGTGGTAAGAATTAGCATATTAAATGAAAGTAACATTCTCCAAGGCGCAAATTGACTATTTAGTGGAGCGTAACCATTGTGGAGAATGAGTGCAATCGATGAACAATTCATGTAACCTTCATCCAGAAATGGCCATTGAATTAATTTCCAGCCGGAAAATCTGAGGTGAGATCCAAAAGGAAGTTTCGCTGGATCAATTTTCAAGAACGACGGCAGCTATGCTTTCAAGGGTTTATCTACAATTGGGCCATTTGGCTGCCTCTTATTTAAAAGACACGTTAAGTTATGGACTCGTGAGAGAGTTTTTTCAACCACTTGCTTCGTCACGAATACTCGAGTTTGACCGATTCTCACTAATTAACACTACAAGATTTAATGAAGAGAAACCTATGGGCAACAGTAATTAACTACATGTCTCACTTCCTTGATTTATCAATTGATGCTCAATAATAGAAAAATGATTACAATAGTGAAAAAATTATTAAGGTTTCGGGAAAATATGCAGGTCTAACTCGTGGATTTTCCATCATCCTCTTCCTTTAATCCACGGATTGACTTGAAACTCGTAGAGCGGGGTTTTACACAAAGTTTAACCGTTGTTTTACCAAACCGCGTTTTAAGCCATCTTCAACGTAGCCGAACCTTACATCTGAACACTTATTTTTTTGAACAGTGCGGTCGAGAGGGCCTAAACCTTTTAGTGAAAGTACATTTATTTAATTAAATCAAACCTCTTATAGAGGTTCCTTGGGGCCCACTGCTTGCGTAAAACCGCAATTTGGGTTAGACCTCGTGAAAATAACCGGCCCTTAAGAGTCAATCCATATTGAGCGGGTAGCTTAAGAGTTTTGACTGCTTTAATGTTATCTTCATTTAACACACATTATCTATCACAAGGTACTGGTTTAAAAGAAAATTTTTGTCAGGGTTGTGATTTGCTCTTTTGCGTTCGTTTTTGCTATACATCAGCTTTTACAAAGACATCGCTCGCAGCGATGTTGTTGATTAATCAGATAATTTTATAAAAGTTCCAAATAAATTTGGGCTGAGACCAAGGAGATCTAAGTGAGGTTTCGTCCAGGGGTGCCTAAACCTTGTTCCTTGGAAGTAATTTCGGTTCTCATCTATCGGAAGGTCACTAATACGAATCAAAGGGCTCTTGGAGCCAGCTCATTCATGTTATGGATTAAGTTTGCATAGATTTCTTGGACTTGCGGAATATAGGTACAGTTGAATTCGGTTTATGTGAACTTTCAAGGCTTTTGGAATAAATTTTTTTATTCTTGTGCAGTTGTGTGATAAGAAAACTTGTGCATTCGTCGTGATGGAAATTGAAATAAAGGTTGTGTGGGTTGTAGATGGAATGGACAGAGGTCATTAGGCAGTGAGCGTCCTTTTTGTTGGTGTGGGTGTGTGTGTTTGTGGGGCGGAGGGTGGGCTGGGTGGGCATAATCAGGCATCAAATGTTGCTCTAGCAGCAAAATATTAGTAACCCTCATCTTTCACGATCATTTGCACTATTGTGAAATATTTCTTGGCCGTTTCTTGATATCTTCTGTTTTAAACAAAGCGGCCATAGGTTTTGGTTTTTAACAAAGCGGCCACAATCGTTCTTAATAGAATTTTAAGCCTTCATATAATCTGATTATCACATATTAATATTTGCGTAGTCACCAATCCGATGAGTGAGAAAACCACCAGAAAAGTAAACAAATGGCCAGTCACGAAAGCAACGCTTCGCTTTTCCTTATAAAAATTCTCAGGTTCTTCATGTAACAATATAAGGCACATATGTGAAAATCAGTTGTGTACACCCCTGAACGTTGAAAATGCATCAAGTCGAAGGAACAGTTTTGGTCTCGGTTCGCATTTTTTTCAACAAAATGAACACATATCGGTTAAAACGATGAAACGTATTGACCACATGCAAAACTGTCAAATGTTTCTCGAACAGTGCGCGTGTTAAATATTCAATAGTGATATCTCATTTACATCTACATCTACGTCTACTTTTATTGAGTTGGTAAATTCTTTCCAGACATCACACCAAAACACTCGCGCGCAGAGTGAGAATACTACGCGAAGGCTTGAAATTTTATTAAGAACGACTGTGACTAAGAAACGGGCAAGGAATATTCCACAATAGTGCAAATCGTGAAAGATGATCGCGGAAAAGCGATTGCGTGACGCTCGGTAAGTTGTAAGATGACATGTTATCACGTATTAGACGAAAAAACAGTATAAATTCTCGGTCTGCATTTAGAACCCGGTCTGCAGTCCGCATTTTATACCTAGTCTGCATTTTTTACCCGGTCTGCAATCTGCCGTCTGCATTTTTTACTGACCGGATTGGTATTACTGTTTTTGTTCGAGCGAGCCTCAAGTCCGGACCGAAATATCGGGGCTCGAAAAAAAATTTTTAGTGAGACTATTTTGTCCACTATGATTGATGTGTGAACTGTATGTTGAAGAGCTCCCAAGGACAAGTAAATTGATAGAGCAGTGATTATTATATACCAACTCAAGACGAACGCAGATGCGCGGCTTAACTCTGATACCCTTCTACGTGGTCACGGCGTGTGTTGAAATGAACCCGCTACGGATCCCCTTAGTGTGAACATTTCGGCTTCTCGATTTAAGTTGCATTTTCAGAAGTTCGGAAATGTGATTTGAGATTATTATTTTTAATAAAACCATACGAACATGTTATTTCTTTCCATGTTAGTTTCTGAGCTTCATCGAGATTAATTTTGACTTTTACTAAGTGGGAATGGGTAGGACGCGAGACTACTTCCGTTCGTTACATTACTTCCAATCGCTCTGACTAAGGGCTAACGCTCGAAACGTCAGCTTTCGAAACTAACCCCCCCTTACTTCCGTTCACGGTCCACGCTGCAACTTTCGTCCACGGAATACAACTTCCGTCCACGGTCGACAACTTCCGTCAACATCTGCTTCACCACAATACCTCAGTCATTGCTTTTAGCATGTATGAGCTTAAAACGGTCTAGCGGTCTCTTGCAGAGGCGATTGTGACACGGGAGAGCGCGGAAGACAACATATCAGAGAGGGGACCTGGTAAATGGCTCGTTTTTCAAGTTTGTCCACTTTCGGCCGCCGAGTTTCGGGCCCTTCCTCTAAAAGAAGGCCTAATCGTATGGAAGGGGGCCGTACCTGCTGGAAAAGGCCTGTAGTACGTAACGCGCTGGAACGGAACAAATAGGCACTATAAAGCTAGCTATAACGAGAAAAATATGAGTGGAAGGCAATAAAAGTACACTACGAAAGAAAATGGCAAAATGACAACAGGAATGCACCTTACAGTTTGGATGCTTGAATTCATCAGCAGTGTAAATTGTATTAAAGCTGGTCTATTATGTGACTAACTGCTGTTTTTTTTTCTTTTTTTCTTTTTAACTCTTAACTTTATTGTGTTTGTGGAATACCTGTAAATTAGCTGGCGTGCTTTCACAGACCCCGATTTCGGTTCCGTCTGTGAAAGCACACCATTATTGTAGCTAAGTGTATTTTCACAATAAACTCTTATTGTATTGTATTGTATTGTATTGTATTGTATTGTATTGTATCACCGTGAGTGGACTGGCTCTAACTGATTGGCGCTAATTAAGATGTTGCACCATTTAAATAATTCAAAGAACACGTTGGAAACAACCTGAATCAGCGACTTATTTTGGTGTTTACGACTAGACTGGTGGGAATATTTTGTTATCGTGAGCAAAACTCAACGAAAAGACTCTCCTTCTATCACAAGCCTCGTTAGAAATGACCGATTACAATTACACTCGACCCAAAGACCAAACCACGGGTAATGGTGATGTTTTAGGCGACAAGGGTAGAGAAGCTCTCCGTGCCTGTGTGAAGGTGACAATTTACGGCAGACCAGAAACACGAAGATATAACTATAAAGAGGCAGTGGAGCGAGTTAAGAATTGTTATGCTTCTCCCGAGAGACTAAATTCAGTAGTATGGAAAGAATTTCCAGGCCCTTCACGTGACAAAGATAGGGATTGTCTTGTGGAAAAAACGTTTAATGTTGTCGATATTTACAACGCACTTGATAAGTTTGACAGTATGAGTTACGTTGAAAAGTATCCAAAAGGAGAGCCTGGGTCTGAGAAGACGAAATTGTTGATTGACAAACGAAGAGCTGACATCGAAAAAGAGTTGAAGGAAGCCACTTGTAACCCAGATAAAAGACATCGATATTCTCTGAGTGTTGCACAACGACGAGTGAGGGATTGTTATGCTGGTAACTTTCTATCGGATGGGGAGATACTAGAACTAGCATCTTTGAACCGTGATAAGTACAACATTGAGGACATTTGTAAAACTGTTGATCGCCTTGACAGATGCAATCCTGAAACATACAGTTACAAAGAAAGAGAAGCGTACATGGAAATCAGCTCCAACAGGGCTGATTTGCAAAAGAAGTATGAGGAAGCAGTTGCTTCTACTGGTACTCTGCACATATATGAACGCATAGAGGACGCAGTAAAGTGTTTGCAGGCATGTTATCATAAAAAACATTGTTATGTTTCTCGTCATTCAGTTTTTCCCTGTGAGATATGTAAACATCCTGAATATCCGGCTTCCCTTAAAGTGTACTGCATTTTTAAATTGCATGATGCACTTCGCCGTCATGACAAAAATATGCGGGGGCTTCATAAATATCCTGATCATGGACCTGGGTCTGACAAGCTAAAGAATTTGATTGATGAACACAGAGCTGATTTAAGCAAAGAGTATGAGAAGTTTCTCAAGAGTGATAAATCAAAGCTCTCAGCTCGTGAATATTCCCGCAGTGAAGCTGAGCGCTGTGTGAGAGATTGTTTTGCAGGCTCCTTTTACGGAGATGTGGACATATTCCCTACAAAGAAAGATGAGAGTGGAATGCCAAGTATTTTTCAAACTTTTGACATTTTTGACATAAAACAATCTCTGGATTATTTTGATACACAAAAGCCTTTTGAGAAGTATCCTGAAAGTGGGCACATAACTGATAACAGAAAGAAAGAAGTGGAAGCCATGAGGGCTGATATTGAACAAGACTATAAAGTAGCCACTACCAAGTGTGATACTGAGCATGGCTCAGGATTCATCATTGGTGATCACTTTATACTCACCAACAAGCATGTGATTCAGACATATCTAGATGAGGAAGACAGTTATGAAATTCACATTTCTAATGCATCCATTGGTGAATTGTCTTGTAAGGTTGCCCATTGTGATCCAGTAAAAGATCTCGCTTTGCTATATTGCCAAGATCTTAATTCACAGCAAAGAAGCATTTGTCCATTACAGTTATCAATCCAGCCATTGCTTCCAGGAATGCAGATTTTCTCGTTTGGTTATCCTTTGAGTCACACAGGAAAAACTGCCCTTTTAGTGACTGGTAATGTTTCTGGCTCTAAGGAAACTTTATCAGGTCATTTAATGGCAGTGTTGAACTGCTCCTTGAATTCTGGAAATTCAGGTGGCCCTGTTGTCTCCTGGATAAACAATCAGTTAAAGGTTGTTGGCATGGCAACACAGAAGCATTTTAAAGAGATTCTAACACCGGAGGAAAGAATTGTGATTGAAAGGATAAGAGAGTCTATGCAAACCTGCACTATTCAGGTGTCAGATCGAGCGGTGGATGATTTTGTTCTTTCAAAGAGACATTCATTTGATTCAGATTCGTATCAGATATCAATCCAACTGCTCACACTAAAACTGTATGATGCTTTGGAAACACATTCTCAGTTCAACTTAAGCAATGCATTGTCAGCGAAATTTGTGGTTGAGTTTATCAAAAACTTCACCACTGAATACACTGGGGAGTTTAAAGAAGAGTTAGAAATCCTTTGCCAAGAGTATGATGTTTGCAATTAATTTAAATGGAAGACAATATAATTGAAATTTAACATCAGTTGCCTGTTGTTCCTCTGGTAAAAACAGGCTTTGTTTACAGCATAGTTCACTCTCTCTGTCACTGAAGAGAGATCACAGTTAAAGGCAGCAACAACTGTGCAATTTAACCCTTTAACTTCCCTTAGCAACCAAGACAGAATTTCTCCTTATAATACCAATACATGATCAAGCAGACAAGTAATGAGAATAAAGAAAAATATCAATGAGATTATTTATTGATGCAATACCAAATTCTCCAAACTAACGTCATAAGAATTGATAGTAGACAGAACAGAGAATTACAAATGAGATCTGGGAGTGAAAGGATTGAGACATAATTTTATCTTGTGCATACATATATTCTCTATGAAACCCTCATATAATTTGCTATTGTAGAAGTAGTGATAGATAGTGTATGCTACAACAAACATAATTATGACATCTTAAACCTATCAAGGCAAAAAATGTAAAGTGGTCTCTATTACATGTATATGAGTGAATCTGCCAGGTTGAAAAAATTTGTTTGCCAGATAAGATGTATCAAATTGTTATGCTTGTGTAGACAGAAATTAAATGTAGTGGTTTACAGGAAAGAGACTTACCATTAGGCAGCTAGTACATGTTTATATCAGGGCGTGAAATTAACTTTTTTTCTGATAGCCACTTGGCTCCTAAATTCTTCAAAGTGGTAACCAATTCAAAAAGGTTGGTCGCCATTTTCAAAGACAAACAAAATCTTTTTTTACGCTGTCAGCGTTCTAGATAGACCCTCCAAAATTAAGTTAGGGAAAAGATCTTTAACGTGCCACAGAGTGGACACTAGGATGAATGATATACAACGTTCAGGTTCATCCAAATCCAAGATGGCGTCTAGTTATCGATCGAGATGTATGTGCTACGTTTTGGAAACAAACTTAACGAGGAAGTTTGCCGCGGATTTATCTTTGCAAATCTTTTGGTAAGGTTATGATGAAACGTTCTAGTCGCCAATTTGGCGACTAACTTTCAGGATTTGGTCGCCAAAGTGAAAAATTTAGTCGCATTGGCGCCTGTGTTAGGCGCAATTTCACGCCCTGTATATTCTGAAAAGACATCATATTGAGATTTCCCCCAAATCCAAGAAGAACTAGGTTGATGGAGTAGAAAGTTGTAAGAATTTTTGGAAAAATTTCCGCACAGCCCCATACTTAATTATGCATGTACATCTTACTGGTGATACACTGAATAATAAAGCCCCATATATGGATGTATAATGATGTATGGGGCTGTGCGGAAATTTTGCCGAATTTTTAAGCTGACCTGCAATCCCTTGTTCTTGGCTATGTTATATTTGTAGGTATTTTGATAAAGCTAAATTAGTTCTTCTATGTACATGTGTTTTACAATAAGTGTCTTTGTCAATATTTTAGTATGTATTTGTAGATTGGACACATTAAAATTTGTAACACGACACAACCCATTGATTGTGTTAAAACAAGTGGTGTCTTATTGTATTGATAGATTTTTCTGAAGCTGCCCTATTTGTTATCTTTTGATGGAAAAAGGGAAGGGATATGTGTGATGTCCAGAGATACACTTCATATAAAACAAAGAGTTAGTTGTTCTCAACTTCACTTAACCCTTTTAGTCCCAAGATCTGATTGTTAATTCTTCCCTCTAGCTGCAACACATCTCCTTGTGAATCAGTTATAAGAATTTGGTGTTGGATCAAGATAACGAATTCCACCTGATTTGTTTGAGTATTCTTACTACCTGTGTGCAGGATAATGTATGGATATTATAGGGAGAAGTTACATGCTAATCATTTCTGGGAGTTACAGGGTTAACAATGACAGTTCTTCATTAGAATTGAAATTCATTCCAACATGAATATATACATTTTTGTGTATCATGGCATTCAAAAGTATGCATGGACAAATGATCATTCCCTTTACCTTAGAATTTTTTATTTTCATGCGTAGAACTTTAAAATACCAGTACATTAAAAAAACTGTCAGAATTGTTCAAAATATTGTTGCATCAAGATCTTCATTTTCATGTACCAATGTTCTATTTTTGAAACAACTTCTTGTTTCCTGCATTAATTCTGGATAATGCAGAATATCAATAGCTGTCATGGCCATTGCTTTGCTTGCAATCAGCATTTTTGCATGGGCATACTCTGTCATTGCTGCTGCCATGAATGCATGACAATGGTTTGAAGCTTTACATCCAATATCATATAGTACATGATTTGAAGGAATTTTCTTTGAGACATCTCCCATATCTGGTGAGCCCCATGTTTGCTGTTGCACTTGTGGGTCAAAGGTTACACCAAAAGACTTGACATTAGCCTGGTAGAGGTCTGCTTGATCCACACTGGAATAGTGTAATAGATTCCATTCCACATGCACTTTGCACCCTTTGAAACAAGAAACAAAGTAATATCTAATTTATTTCATTCTCCAAGGAAGGGAAACAAAATATTTTGTATATGGCATGCTGCGTTAATTAAGTTAATTAACCTTCCTAGGACTGGTATTTTAAAGGCTGGCTGTAAGTAGAAACCTAATTGTTACCAGGCAGAAGAGAAGGCAACCAGAATTGTAAGTAGTGTTAATTTTCTTGTGCTTTTGTAACTATGTAATGCATTTTCTTTTCCTCCATAGTTTGACTATAACTTGAATAAAGAATAGTTCAGAAATCTAAAACTGTCAACATCTCTTCTGAAGGGATAAATGTAGATAACCAATTCACAAAACAAACACATTGATTATTTATGAGAATTCTCAATATTTAATCCCACAGTAACAAGAGGATGCTCACTATCCATTCTTAGCAACTGCCTTTTTAATTCAAACTTACACCCAGAACATAGCCAGAATTATATGACAGTTCAGAGAAGACAAACCTGTTATATATCAAAGACCCAAATGTTCTTTGAAAATGTTTCCCCCTGAATATATAATGATACCATGAAAGGAACAAGAACCTAATAAATGGAAGTTATCAACCTAACTAGCTGGTTATTCTTCAGTAGTTTTTGGTAACCATAGGGTGAAATAAATGAGAAGACAATTGGGAAAACTTGTGGTTTTTGTGGATGGACCACTTTTTCCTTTGTCAAGCAGCAAAAAAAAAAAAAAAAAGAAAAAAAGAAAAAAACCTAGGGAGGCTGTAACAAGCATGTCTCCCTGGTCACCTTTGATAGAAGGTTTTGATGTGCCAACCAATTAAAAAAAAAATAAACAAAGTATGGAAACTGGGATTTACAATTTGAGATTGAAGAATCTTTACATATTCAATGGGAGAAACCCACATTAAATCATAAACTGAATCATGTTATTTGAACATGTTCTCTATAGCCATGCTTTGTCACTCACTTAATTATAGTGTTCTGTTATATTACTGTACATTCACTCTAAGTACCTATATCAATTTAAACTGAGTATGACACAAGAACTGTAAAAACTAATACCTCTCAAATTGATTTTTTTAATCAAAATACTAAAAAATCTGCCAAATTACTTTTATTAGTCTTACCTGTCATCAGTGCAACAGCTTCAAAACAACTAGAGACTTTTTCTGTCAAGACCTCAAGTTCCTCACAGTTGGAGCCCTCATGTTTGAAGATCAGCTGAGCCCCATCTGGTACAATGTTTGGCTTGATCCCAACCTCAGAAATAAAACCATGAACTTGCCATTAGAGCTTCATCTCCTGTCACAGTACTCTTATGTTTGTATTAGGCATGACAGCTGTATCCAATGCATTGATTCCCTCCCAAGGGAATGTTGCAGCATAAGCTACATGACCTTTGTAGGTGACTGTAACACTGTCATGAGCTCAGGCCACTGAACCCCCACTGGCTTAAGGATAACTTGGGAAGAATAAACCATTATACAGATATCAAGATCTTTGAAGCAGCCAATGTTGATCATCAAAATTGTTTCCCTGCCTCCTTCCACAGCAGAAGTTCCAAGATGTACTATTTTGACTTTGGTTTCTGATCAACTGCATCCACAGCCACTTGAGACCTATGAGTCCAAAAAATAATACACAGAAATTAAGCAAAACTGGAGGAAATCTCATCTAGGGTGGACAAAAAATTAATCAAATTTCATAGTGGGTAGCAACCCCAATTTAAACCCTTTACTGCCAAGATCTGAATGTTAATTCTCCCCTCTTACTGAAACACATTTCCTTGTAAATTACATGTAGTTTTGAGAATCTGGTGGAAGATCAAGATCAAAATCAACATCTACCTGATAAGTTTTAGTATTCTCATTACCTGTTTGCTGAATAGTTTATGGATATCATAGGAAGAAGTTACATGTCACCTGATTTCCGCTTGCTGCTCCTTTGTCAAAAACGTGAATGTTGCTTTTACACTTCTAAATGTCAGATTTTCAGACGAAATTTGGGATTTGTAGCGAAAACTATGTAAAACTCGTGGAGTAAAAACTATCCGATGCTCTGGATAGCAATCTCTGCATTGTGGAAACGGTTACTTCTTCTACCGAGTCAACCTTAATTGATTGAACTCACTTAAAATTCCTTTAGTTTTGAGAAAATATTCCCTCGGTGGTCCGCCTTCGTGCAGCGTCTTTTCGTTGAGTGTTTTGATCAACGGCTTCTGGGACTTGCAGAATAAAAGGTGCGATCGGGACAGCGGAATGGAATTCCGGAAGCATGGATGCCAATCAATACCTTCGAGTACTATCCAGTTACATAAACATAACGCGTATCTAGTCGCTTGAAGGAAACGTGGCGGTCCATGTTGGAAGTGATCACATCACAGTGGCGGATCCAAGGGGGGGGGCATGGAGCCCATGCCCTCTCCCCCAGCGCCGAACTAAATCTCACATTCACTCGTGGTGCCCCCCTGACATCATGGGACAAACAACTTACTGCATAACACTACCCCCACCCCTCTACGAATCCCCCCCGACTATGCATGGTTCTGATTTTGATGAAAACAAAACAAAAAAAAACAGTTCAGCTGCTTACGTGTTATTTTAATATATATATTTTTTTCATATATTTAATATCTGAGAGTAAAAAAGGATCCAAAATAAAAGGGGAGAAAAACTCTCTATGAATACACTTGCTTGACAACTCCCCTGTGAAATGTGGATGCAAAGAACGAATAGTCCATAGAACCAAACAGCTGTCAGCAAAGGATCACAGACGAAAATGAGGTGAAAATACATGGCCTAAGACAACAAAATACATACATGAAAAAAACTGAGGTCCTTTATTTTTTTTTCCTATTGCTTAATAAGAAAATGATGCGAGGGTGGCGCGTGCGATGGACAAGGCGCGAATTGTGGTCACGAATCCAAGTGTGTTGCGTGATTGTCACACGAACTTTTCGCCAAATGATAAAATCGCAAAATATTGTTCATTGTTGTTCAAAGCTCAGCAGCAGTGATTATATTGGAAATGTACGCTACTATATCAGTTCAACTGGATGAAATATGAAAAATTACCATTTTAAAACTGAGATAGCTTATAGTAATGACACAATTTTTAGTTGTTGCTACATTCAGGATCAAATTTGGGGCTAAGCAAGTATACAGCGCCTGGTTCGATTACAGGTTTGACTATTTGCTAGAAACAAGTGTCTGTCGGTTGGATGTTATATCAACAGATCTGGGGAATCTTACAAAATAGTCTTGATTTGGGATGGTTTATATGAAAATGCCTTAATTGTACCCATTTTGCGGCATGGTATTAGCTGAAGCGTATCTTGGTCAGAGGCTGTGTGTTCTATCAAAGTCCTTCTTGATTTTTTGCATAAATTCGGGATTGCACAGAACATCAATAGCAGTCATGGCCATCGCCTTGCTTGCAATCAAAGTTCTCTCGTGGGCAATCTCCGTTATTGCTGCTGAAGTAAATGCATGAGAATGGTTCACAGCGTCGCTGCCAATACCGTACATAACGTGGATTGACGGGATTATTTGGGAGACATTTCCCATATCTGTTGAGCCACTCAGTTCTTTCTTTGGAGGATTGAACGCTACTCCCAAGGTCATGACATTGGCTTGATAGAGATCTGCCAGTGTGTCATTTGTATCCAAACTGGAGTAACGTTTTGGATCCCATTCAATAGACACCGTGCATCCTAGAAAAGAAGAACGAGGAAAATCAACGAGTGAGGCAAAAACTTCCAATCACTTCACAGGAAGTGCAAGAACGCAGATTGAGCCTCCATAAATGTGTAAATATGTTTGTGTCGAGCAGTAAGGGAAATCTAAGGATTTGCATGAGAATGAAAGGTCGCAATCTTAATCCAACAATCTGAACTAATTTCATAAAAATAAAAAACAAACTTTACTTCCTTTAGATCTAGTGAGTTTCGTATGCTTGGTATGTTTCCCACGCTTTGGCCTCTCAAGAAGTCTTTCCCACGGTGAGTGACGGAATCCGGAAATGACGATTTAGAGGGCAAAGGGATGGCGGGGGATTAAAGCAGAGCTAAAGAACCGCACATCAGCCTAAGAAAGTCACAGGGTTCAAAGAAAGGGAAGTTAAATTGTTTTTAGATATCAATATTTTAGATTGTTTGCTTAATATTGCAACCGTTGTCCTGCAAATGCATTTATTTTGTCCCTTGTAGGACACAAACATGTTCACGGAGGCTCATTGTGCGAGCTTGGGCTACCTGCGGTCATTGCAAACAGCCTCAGGCAATCGCACTCTTTAACCAGAAATGTTACAGCTAATTGTCAATTGTCTTCTGTCTATTTCACCTGTGGCCGTGGCTGCTGATTCGAAACAATTTATGACCTTTTCTTTCAAGACATCAAGTTCCTTGTCGGTCGGAGCTCGGATGTAGTATTGGATCTGTGCGCGATCAGGAATGATGTTTGGCTTCACACCTCCCTCCGTGATAACACCATGAACGCTCCATTTGGGCTTCATCTGCTGTCGCAATGCACTTATACTCGTATAGGCTATGACTGCTGCATCCAATGCATTGACTCCTTTCCAAGGGGATGCGGCAGCATGCGAGGAATGACCATGGTAAGTAACTTTGACTTGTTCGATTGCTAAACATGGAGGTTTAAGCTCATCTATATCGGCAGGATGAACCATCATACAGAAGTCAAGATCTTTGAAGCAGCCATTGTTGATCATCAAAATCTTTCCCCCTCCTCCTTCCTCAGCAGGAGTTCCAAGAAGAACAATTTTGACTTTGGGTTTCTGATTTACTGAATCCAATGCAATTTTCAGACCTACGGTGATTTATTGGGAGAATGAGCATTTAAATTTTTTCAAAGCGAAATTAGAACGGTACAGAAATGTGATATTATTACTTCACACAAACTGCGACTCAACCTTGTATTGGAATCTCATAGAAATGAGGGTAAAAACCCCTTAACTGCCCAAGATCTGATTGTTAATTCTCCCATCTAGCTGCTGCACATTTTCTTTTTTAATAATATACATGGAAAAATTACTTAGTTCTGATTGGTTAAGATAAATGCAGTTTTCAGGTAATTCAGTGCAGAAGAGAGTTAATTCAGTGCAGAAGAGGGTTAATTCAGTGCAAAAAAAGAAACAAATCAGACATTCTGATTGGTCAATAATCAAAGAAACTCACAGATAGCCAATCAAATGCGAGCCTTGGATGTCGCAACAAAATTTGAAAATTTGCGAGCGAAACGATGGCCGGTGTTTTAAGTAGGCTTTCTTTCGCCACCGCAGCTGAAAAACAGCTTAAACAACGAAAACACTGTAAAAAGCACTGCTTTTTGGTTGTCTGTTTGGAAAAAGTGGTGTTTAGAGAAGGGAATTGCCGAGGAAATCGAAAATTACGAGCCGACCCAGCTTAACACTTTGCTCGAGCGATCACACGCCGAAATTAAAAAAACATGGTTAAACCTCGGAAACGACGATTCTATTTCATCGAAAGTGATTAGGACACAGACTGAACAATTCCTTGAACTGTTTAGCTGGACTTTGAACTTTTTTGCACCTTAAAGACGTGAAGATATCATTGCATAATTTATTATTATTTTGATCGTACGCGGTTGTTTTGACCGAACGCAAGATTTGAATAAATGATTTTTGCACTTGACGCGCGCGCTTTGCTTATGTTTTATTATGATAAGCCATCTCGTGTTTTTCCATGAATATTATTAACACGTAATCACATGATTTTTCTCGTGCAATTTGGAATAAACAAGCACTTGTTAATTTTTTTCAAAGACCACAAATTGCAATCGCCCTACGGGCTCGTGCAATTTTGTTAGTCTTTATTCCAAATTGCACTCGAAATCATGTGATTACCTATACAAATTAGTCATAAGAATTTGGTGTTAGATCAAGACAAAAAATTCCACCTGATATGTTTGATTATTTTCATTACCTGTTAGCTGGAAAATGTATGGATATTATAGGGAAAAGTTACATGCTAATTCGTCCACGTCACTGTACTAATATTTAACCTGACCTCACTGGCACAAAATCGTTTCGTTAAATACGCCTTTAACAACAATTTTGAAAAGTTTTAAAGCCAAATTTGCCCTATCTGTGGAATTACACAGTTTGACGACAAATCATAACAGACCAAACGAGACCTAAGTATTTTGCTTCTACCTGCATACATTAATTTGATACAGACAATTACTGACGTAAAGTTTACCCAAAGCTGCTGCTACTCCTGATTCAGCGATCAGATTATGTCCACAAGCGTGTCCTATTTCTGGTAAAGCATCATATTCGCTGATAATACCAACTGTTAGACCTCCATCCTCTCCGCACTCAGCTCGGAAAGCCGTATCCAAAGTGTAATGAGGAGTAACACAGAAACCATGCTCCGCCAAAAACTTCGTTAGTAGCTCGTGAGCATACGTTTCCTTAAAATTCAGTTGTGGGTTCTTCCATATTCCTTTGCTCAGATCATATAGGTCTGAAGAATGGACGCCAATTGCTTGCTTTGCCTTTTCCTTTAGGATTTCTGCAAGTTCATCCGCCATTTTTGATATGATCGATCGAATTTAATAACACCGCGCTCAAGAAGGATGTGTTATTGGTTTCGGTAAATAAAGTATGAGTACTCACGTGCCTGAGAAGCACCTAAAGAATATCTTTCCCTGGTTTGAGGAAGGCTCGCAGGTTTGCTGCGTCTGTCTCAATTGAGGTTTCAACAGATGGTTGTGATGTAGTCTTGAAGGGATCTTAATCACCCACGTTAGACTAGTCACACGACATGAATGTGATATATGCCTCAAGTTTGATGATAAGTCACCAATTGTGGTCCCAAGTCTCCCTAACGTAGCATGAGAAATAACGAAAACATCTCAAAATATTAACAAGTGATGCAAGCATTAAAAATAAAGAAAAAACTACAACCGCAAGCAAACTAACAGAACCTATCAACTGGATGACTTACACATGATATCATGTGTAAGTTATCCAGTCGATAGGTTCTGTTAGTTTTTCTACAAAAATGTCACGTCTGAGTAACGCGCGGCAAGTAACTACTGCAGGCCTGAGCTATTTGATACTTGGTAATTGAAGTTTCAACAGATGGTTGTGATGTAGTCTTGAAGGGATCTTAATCACCCACGTTAGACTAGTCACACGACATGAATGTGATATATGCCTCAAGTTTGATGATAAGTCACCAATTGTGGATAAGTCACCAATTGTGGATACTTGATAATTGAAGTTTCAACAGATGGTTGTGATGTAGTCTTGAAGGGATCTTAATCACCCACGTTAGACTAGTCACACGACATGAATGTGATATATGCCTCAAGTTTGATGATAAGTCACCAATTGTGGTCACAAGTCTCCCTAACGTAGCATGAGAAATAACGAAAACATCTCAAAATATTAACAAGTGATGCAAGCATTAAAAATAAAGAAAAAACAACATGATATCATGTGTAAGTCATCCAGTCGATAGGTTCTGTTAGTTTTTCTACAAAAATGTCACGTCTGAGTAACGCGCGGCAAGTAACTACTGCCGGCCTGAGCTATTTGATACTTGGGTTTCTATAGGCAGTTAAAGGGACTCTGACACGCTATTAGTATGTGCACTAAATTATTCCCGATTTGCATAGCGTTATGTCCTCGGGCATGAATTTATAGAGCATATTTACAAGGTAGCTCGAGTTGAATTACAACAAAATAAAAGTATTTTTTAACCACTACAAAATGATGCGATGCATGCTCCAACCGAAATAGAAATGACCTCCTATATACAACAACGTACTTGTGTTTAAACGGTTTTTCGTCGCAAAAATAACGTGTGGTATGATTTTTCCAGTGATTGCCGTTACGCTGCAGAAGATAAAAGCTGTTTCACTGGGGCCTTTCGCCGATGCGTGATAAAAAAAACCTAAGACTTTGGGCCGGTTATTTACACGAGGTCTAACCCAAACCACGGTTTTACGCGAGTGGTGGGCCTCTGTATTAGAGGGTTGGTCTAATTAAATAAATGTCCTTCCACTATAAGCGTTCGGTCCTCTTTACACTGTTTACAAAAATAAATGTTCAGATAAAAGTTTCGACTAAATTGAAGTTGGATTAGAACGCGGTTTTGTTCAACAATGGCTAATAGTTGTTTAAATAACCGGCCCTTTCACTTGCGGTAAAATCTAATAGGTTTGATCTGCGCATCATTCAAATGACGCTCTCTTTACAAAATTAAAAAACCCTAGCCAGGGCATAGCATATTTTTAGCTTCTATTCAAGTGTGAAAGAAAACGAAAAAGGTGCTGCAGACATGGCAGAGGAAGAATTTGAAATAATGAGCGATCATTGGTGTTTGAAAATATTTTGCGCCTTTGAATGTAAACTACTTGAATTCCAACAATATTTTTTACTGCCATGCGCACCTCAGCCGATCTGATCACTTTTGAATTTTTAACGGTGATTCTTTACTATGTGACACTGAAAAAGTACGGATTCACCAAAAATCCTTCATGTTAACCATTGCTCGTGGAATACAGCAAAAACAACAGCCAAGATGGGACTCCGACAAGTCTTGTCAAAGACTTTTATGATAAAACTCCTGAAAGCTGATCACACTTCGGTCCTCACTTCAGCAAGATATCAACAGTTTACAACCGCTTTAAACAACCTTTGGTCGGCTGAATCTTCTCAGAATGCCGCTCAACAAGAGAGAAGAAAGACTGGTGTATAACAGTTCTTCAGAGTACCTGGACTCCCAGGTTACAACAAGGTAAAAAAATAATATAAATTTGAAAGTAGCAGTGTAATAAAATTTCACACCCAGGGAACAGCAAGCAAGTGGGAGACATAGATGGCTATAAAGTTTCCACACTGACTTTATCCGATTCAATCTTTGTCGCGTAATACGTATTTATTTTCTTAAGCAACGTTTCCTAGATTTCGATATCTCTAGAAACACCACGCTACCTACATCTGAGTTTAAACAAAATTACAATGTCTTCATCTAGAAACAAGGTAGATGCATATAAATGACTAAACATCATGTATCTTTTCTATCACCAATGTCACAGCATTTTATGAAAATCTATGACTGCAATCGTGGATAAAAAGATACTTCTAATTTACACAGTATTAAATTCATCCATTTTCTTGAAGGTTATCAGAAGTGGGATACAGCCAGTTCTAAGTGGAACAGAGCCACCGAATTTCTGGGTGATTACGAAAGCGACACTCCGCATTTAAAAAGAAAGCGACCGAAGTATACGCTCCAGGCCATTCGAGCAAGATCTTCGAGAAGCAGGTTAATTCCTTCCTTACATAGATGTGCTATTTTCATTGTGGACTGTTGAAAGTTATGACAAGCAAGAGAAAGATTGAGACTCAATGTACCTCACATGTTCTCCTGAAGAAAGTCAAACACATTCCAAAGTAAGTACATTTTTTCTTCAAGGAGAAGCTAGCTTTAGAAACCGTGTAAATAAATCCCCAGCATCAAAATTCACTGACATTGATGAAATACTTTTGAGCTTCCAAAGAGAAACCTATTTGTTGAAAATTTGTCTCCAAACTAGCAAACTAAATATTCTGCTCCTATGTTATGAAATTTGGATACCTATGAAGCTGCAGGGGAGACATTATTTGAAATCCAATTTTTTAACTCGTGAATTGCGCGCATGCATAAGAGCGAGTTGTAGATAGGATGTGGAGGATGGCACTCGCTCGCTAACTCGCTCGATTGGTCGATTCCTGTAAACTTTTTTTCAATTTTAGGCTTTTGAGTGCATTTGATAGTTTTTAGCGAGTAATAAGCAAACGAAATGGCGACCTTTGTTGCTAAGAATAGTGGTGAGGTGAAAAAGAAGCCAATGATAATCTTAAAAAAGAGTTTTTTTTTTTCGTTTTAGTTTCAACAAGTGGCGCTGGCGACTGGCAGGCATGCGAGGATTCACACTAAAGTAAGAGAACAACCTTCGTTTTCCATAAAATTGCAATTTACAATCCTTGAACTTGAAAATAATCCGAAGATTCATTAAAAATATCACTTACTCCGAAGCGCTCGGAGTTTTTCAAGTGTTCAAAAGCTTTTTCTGTTATGGCGTGAGATTGGGGACAAAATCGATCATTATATTTCGTAACGTGTGTTTTTCCTGTGTAAAGCAACGAAGGGTGCCGGCGACTGACGAAATTACAGGTTAACACGAAAATCAAATAACACCTAAACAAATAATTTTGGCTACCGATTTCCAGTGAATTTTTAAACAACAATTTTCTTTTAAGTTTCAAGACAATTTGAAGATTCTAAATAGATATTACGTACCAAATTGCGAAACTTATACACCACAAAATGGATAAATAGGCCTGAAATGAAATTCTACTTTGTTCTTGAGTATACGTTGCCTAGCACGTGACCAAAATCTACCCAGGTGGCAATCCAAAATGACGGTGGCACTCTTAGCTTAGTTATGTCACTCAAAACTCGTTCCCGTTTGTCTCATTTGATAAAGAGGGAATCATTAATGTTTTCATTAAGACAGTATTGCCTTGATTTTCCAATATTTACAATGATAGACAGTAAATTTAACTTTTCACCCACATTTACTTGACGAAGTTCTTTCCGAAAGAACCCGAATGATTTAGGGCTGTAAATATGGCAAGATCTTTCATAAACTGAACAAGTTTTGAGCGAGTAAGTGGTAGTTAAAATAGGGGTGATGCAAATTAAAGAGAGATGCCTCACCGAAACATTTTCATTTCCGTAACGATAAAGATGATTTAAAAGGCTTCCAAACAAACTTAGAAACACTATTTTTACAAGGATCTGTCACAATCTGACACCTGTCAATTAGGGAGCGCAAGAAAAAAAAAGCGCAAGAACATTTGAAAAACAACGGAACTAGTTAGGCAAGGACTGTCTCGACAATGTTTCCTTCAAAAACAGTCAATGATCTAACGGAAAGTATTATTCACTCTTATTGAAGATTCATTCATGAACGAAGATTTACCTCTGTTCATTAAGTAAACGGCGAGGAAAATAAATGGGAGTAAATTCAATTTTTTTATTTTGAAGTTGTGAGAGTTTGTTCGTTTGATTGCTGCAATGGCGTGTGTAAATCTGGTCTTTCCTCCACGAAAACTAAATTCGAATGGCACACTCCAACGAAACAAACGGGGGTTTTAATGCGGCCTTTTCTCATTGAACTCCTTCAGTTTCTATTGTGCAATTTACGGTACAAATGTCCAAATTGAACGGACTCGGAAAGACACACCGAGAACGTAAATTTGCTGCAGAACTTAAATTAAAACTTCGCTCGCTCTTTTACTACGAACATATTGTTTGAGAAAATTCAGATATTAGATGAATAAAAGTTATATCGTTCAGTTTAACTGTAACCAAATACTTCACGTTTTAACTTTCTATATACTTTTTGTGAACGATTAAAATTAACTGCAGACGGTTTTTAGGCAGCTTGTCAACCAAAGTAATTGACACTATTGCTTATACAAATTCATTCTGAAACCAATATTTTTCTATCGACCAAAGTGATTTGAGACAGAGAAAACAGAGGATTCATAAATTATTTATTGGCTTGAGGTAGTGACCGACGTGTTTGCTTAGATAAATGAAGAAAAATGAAGAAATAAAAAATTAATTGGGATGTACTCGGCGACTCACGAAAGCGTTACCGTGGCCCGTGGGCAGAGATAGGAAAATACTGACCGGGTGAAGAACCAATCAGATTGCAGGATTCGTTACCGTGCCCTCTAAAAAAAGTAAATGTTTAAAACACATGACATCATTGGCCCTTGTCAAATGTAAGAGCATGATCATTTCAATTGTAATGCCTTCTTATCCCAACGTTACTTTGTTTCTTTGCTACATTAGCGAACACTGAACAACTGCTCGTACTCTAAATATGACAATCAACCACAAAATTCCCTTAGCCAGACAACCTTAACATAATCCAAAAAATTATGTAAGTCATCTGTCAATTCACGAGTTTGCTCATAGAGCACTTTGATCTTTAAACTGATGGAGGACTGGAACTTTATCAGCGGCAATCATGGAATATATGTATATAAAACCGAAAAGAAGAAGAAATAGGCGTCCAAACCCTTTTCCAGTCAGCACAATATTGAGTATAACGAAAAACACAACAAAGTAGTTTGATGCAAATAATCTAAGGTGCACTTTACTGATCAAATGAAGCATCGTTTGTAACATCAAGTTTATGCGCTAAAGAAAATAGCTAACTAGCTTTCCTGTGACCACGTTTTCTCTCTCCTTCGAGTTCCTATTCCTATATTCATACGGTATATCTCAAGGAACCTTTCGTATTCTTTGGAATATCTAGCTTTGAATTATTTATGATGGAGAGAGAGAGAGAGTGAGAGTTGAAAATATTTCAATATTATGTGAAAGTCTATCGCGACAAGTCATTTACTTTAGGCACTATTCTTTTTTAGCCGGAGGATCGTGTCTCAGTAAAGGATATTTCACACTCGGAGGACAAGTTAGATCACAAAAGGTAAATGGTACTATATAGATAGGATAGTAAAAGAAAAATTACAATCTGAGTCCCTTGTGAGGATTCCAACCTCAAGCAGTCAGCCCAAATAAGGTGATCCCAGCTGGGTGGAGAGTTTCGTGCACTCCACTCAGTGCTTGTTTATTTTCGCGTCCCGAGGAGAGGTGCAGTGCAGATTGCCCATACTTCGGTCTCACCCTCTGGTACCTCGGCATACGCTCGTATCGTATTTGCTTTTATGTTTTGGGTTTTTGCATTCTTCTTTTATTTTGATACGAGCAATAAGCCGTTAAATAGGTCTCAAACCCGGAGGCCAGACCCATTTCAGGTGTCGGCTGTAACCACCAGAGGACTGTGACTGTATTCAAGCGGGGATCGTACTTTATTTTATCTACGGCACAGTTCACATTCAAAGTCAAAGGAATACAAGAATCTCCTGCCAGGTTGGAAAGTATCTCCTCCATTGAACAATGATAACAAATTATTATATTTGCATAACGCAATAAGGGCGACTGAAGCTTCCAGAGCTTAACTTGAGAGGGGCCACTAGAAAAAATTGTTTATGTAATGACAGTCCAAAATCAATTGTCTCTTAAAAAAACGGCACAACCTTATTGTCAGCTAAGCAGAGAGCAAAACTGGGTCAACTTCCACAAGGATTCAAACCTTAAACCCTAAGACTTCGCCATCTGCTCTACCATAGTTACTAGCTGGGCAGAAGAAGAAACTCGGGTCGACCGCAGTTCGTGAGGATTCGAACCTCATTTTATTCAACATCGCTACAAATTACCGCTCTCACAACAGACTAGAGAGACACATTTCTGAGTAAAAAACGTGAGAATTCAAACCTCATGATCAGACTTTGCAATATCGGTACCAAACGCTCTACCACCTGAGCTAAGACAAAATGTAGATCGACCTTTGAAAGAAATTACGCGTTAGATGTGTGAAATGAAAATATCCGGTCGTCTTTCATGAGGATTCAAACCTCAGATCTACCGATTTTGCTGTCAGATACTCTACATGCTTAAGACTATGCAACTTGTGCACAAAATTCAAAGCAACTGGGTCAACGACCATAAGGATTCAAACCTTTGATCTTAAAACTTTGCATTCTGCTCTACTAGCTGGGCAGAAGAAACTTGGGTCGACCACAATTCGTGAGGATTCGAACCTCATTTTATTCAACGTGGCTACAAAATACCGCTCTTACAACAGAGTAGAAAAAAAAATGTCCGGCAGCAGCATCGTCTCTCTGTGGCCTTGCATTGTAGTTGAACTCCGGGGCAGTTGGGTTGAGTATGGAACTAGGCTGCAAACATGTTAACTCCAAGGGATACAACTGCTGAATTGCACGTTCAAGGGTTTCTATGCTTGTTTTCAGACTTGCACTTCTAACAATACCATCGCGTCTCTTGATAAGCTTTGTAACGACCACTAGATTCCATTGATTCTGGTCCTTCTTGTCGTCTTTAATTATGACGACGTCTCCAACATGTGGGTGGTTCGTTTGATTTCCTCCCGCCTGACGGTGACTCTCCCGAAGACTTCGGACGTATTCGCTTGTCCATCGTTTCCACATGACTTCCTTGCACTTTCGCAAGAATTTAGCTCCTCGAGTCGAGGTACAGCATGGAATTTGGTGTTAACACTGGAAGCTGGATATCTTGATCGAGATAGGTTAAAGGACGGTTGTTAAGAGCTATCTCAACATCGAGAACTACTTCTTCTAGCTTCTTCCGCCCAGCGGAGCATTCTATTACCAATGGTCTTGTAAATGCTGCCTTAAAGAGGCTAATTAGGCGTTCAAACTGACCTCCCCACCATGGGGCGCGACTTTGGTTAAATTGCCACTTGATGGCTAGGCCAGCTAGGAGGTCGTGGAACCTTTCATCTTGTTGCACCCTTTTCAGCCATTTATCAACGGCTTTGAAAGTGGATCCGTTATCTGAATAGATTATCTCCGGTCTCCCTCTTCGCGCAATAAATCGTTTTAGGCTTCCTACGAACTCGGCCTTTCCTAAGGACTTAAGCAGGTCAAGATGAACGGCTCTGGTGAGGCTGCAAGCGTACAAGGCCAAATATGCTTTGCTCTTAGTTTTAGCTCTCAGTGTGTAGCAAATCGGACCCACTAAGTCTACGGCTATTACCTTAAAGGCTCCTGCTTTTGGGTAGGTTTCCTGACGGTGGTGCTTGGTATGCTCTTGCTCGAAACCTTTTACACCCGTAGCAGCTACCTCTCAACTTCTTGACGAGGCGTCGTAGTCGGGGTACCCAGTATTTCTCGCGTACCTTCCCTATGGTGAGCCCGATACCTTCATGTAGAGTAACTAAGTGAGCATTGAAGACCAACTTGGCTATGAAGGGGTGGTCGTCTGAGAGGTAGATTGGATATTCCCCTAGAATTCTTCCTCGGCATTCTAAGACTTGCTTGTCGCTGTACTGGAGGTTCAACTGTCGATGCTCCTCTTGACCCTTGATCCAGTAAAGCGCTACGGTTGAGTCGAACCAACAGTGAGTTTCATGTGGCAGGAAGTTTAAGGCTGCTTGTACGTTTGTTACGAGGTTCACGGCCATGTGACCAGCGACTAAGTCTTGGTATTGTAAGGTTCTTCTTGGCTAGTCCAGACTTTGCACAAACGAGTTGCTGAGTGACTCCTTGGTCTTGATGGACAATGGCGTAGACTGCAGCACTAACTCCCTTTGCACTGGCGTCGCCAAATGCGTGCAATGTGAGGCTCGAAATCGGTTGATGGTAAGGAGCGAGTGCCCGTGGTACCATTAAGTTCTCAGTCAGTGCGCTGTTCCAGTCTTTCCAACGTTTAAGTAGCGGTCCTGGGAGTTGAGTGTCCCTCGGAATTTTGTCGTCTTAGATGTCATGATAAAGCTTTTTCCCGGTGAGCATTATTGGCGATGCGAGACCAAGAGGGTCGTAGATCTTCGCAAGATGGGACAGCACATCTCTCTTGGTTGTTCCGGTCCGTGTGATTTGAAGAATTACGCTGATCACGTCTTGTTCTCTTTCCCAAGGGACACCTAGTAGCTTTCCTGCGGACGGTTTGGCTCCTCCGAGTTTCTGTTTAGCGTATGTTATTTCTTTTTCATAAGGTGAGCTACTGATTGCTACTAGGTCTGATACATTTGAGTGCCATTTGTGAACAGTGAACGAGGCATCCTTGAACACTTTTGTGGTGATGAATTTCTTTTCTGTGGTGATGGCTTTCTTTTCTGCGGTGATTTCCGCGTTCTCGCCCCCAGTCATTAGGTCATCAACGTACAGGTCATCGCAAATTTCTTTAATTAGCTTAGGGTATTGGCTTTCCCATGTTTCGAGATGCTGGTTAATCACTCCACCAAGGAGGAAAGGAGAGCACATCATTCCGAAAAGAGCTCGTGTGAAACGTAGGACAGAGGTATTGTTGCTGTTTGGGGGTCTCCAATGAAAGCGCAGGGAATCTCTCTCTTTTTTCTTTACTCGGACTTGAAGAAACGCCTTCTTGAGGTCACCAGTGAGCAATACAGGGTAGAATCTGGACCTTACAAGGATGTCCCACAGACGGTTCTGAAGAGGGGGTCCTGGGTTTAGGCAGTCGTTCAGGGATGGCTGATTTTCCTTCTCTCTAGCTGAAGTATCCTACACGATTCGGAGCTTAGTACTCTCGGCATTTTCCCTGGTCACCCCTTATGTGGGATGTAGAACTCTCTACCCGTTGCAACTTCAGATGCTGGCTCGACAAATTCTTCTTGTAGTTGTTCCTGGATTATACTATCGTACTCTTCGTATTGGCCATTTCGTTCTAACTTCCGGACTAGTTGTTCCAATCTTCGTTTACTTCCAGCTTCGTTGGTCGGCAGGGTAGGGTGATTTACTTTCCACGGCAACTTTGTTTCGTACCAACCGGCTGGGCTTCGCTGAAGTTCCTCTTTGAATTCTTCATATACTTCAAGTTGATCGTTCTTATGGCCGTAAGCGAGGCCAAGAACATCCAGGGAACACAACCACTCATAGTCGACTATGACGTCCTCTCTTCTCAATGACATTAAGGTCCATCCAAGGCGAGTTTTCTCAGCTACAGGTTGTCCTGGTTTTCCTACTCTTTGCGCAGTGCTTGTTTTAATTGTGGCATACTCGCTTGCTTCCAAGACCACACGTATGGGAATTTGAGGTCTGGTATCGTTGTCTTCAATCTTCACTCCTTTGAGATGGCTGTATTTACTAAGCAGAGTTGCATAATTAGGGTTGTCTAGTGTCAACAATTGTGGCTTATGAACTTTCGTCAGTTCAATATTCATGTCGAAGCTTCCATTAACTGCTCCAAGAGTAGCTGAATAAATCTGTACATTGGTGGTGGATGATCCAAGCATCATGTCAGTTCGTTTAGTCAGTGTTTCTTTAGGCCTTTTTTTTAGAAGATTGATTAGCTTGTTCGAGGCGTACGAGCTTCCGGCACCGGTGTCGAGTAAAGCATGCGTTTTTATTCCGTCGATTTCTACAAGAATGATGGGATAAACTACTTCTTTGTTTTCTGGTTGATGAACTGTCAGAACACCTTCGGTTTTCACTTCCTTTGGTAAGCTACAGATCAAGGTGTGGTGTTGCTTACTACGATGTTGACAGGTCGCGGTGCTTTTGCATTCCGATGATTTGTGCGGACCAGTGCAACTGAAACAGAGCCTTTTTGTACCCAGAAATTCTCTGCGTTCTGTCTGTGAGGTAATTTTAGCACATTCTGAGGCTTGTGATCTTCCGCTTGGCAAAAAACACATTTTCGTGTCCTTCTCTGGTTTGTTTGGAACACGGGGTCTCGTTTCCGGAATGACTGTGAGTCTTCTAATTTAAAGTTGTCAATCGGATTTCGGTGCGTCTATTGTCGAAGGGCTTCAGTGAATTTGACAAAATCCCAAGTTTCCCATTCTGGATCGTTTCGGACAAGGTCTCCTCTGATGATGAGCAATTTATCGAGCGTTGAGGAAATCATCCCGTTTACTTCATGGAGCGAGTTTAGTGTTTCCAGGGACTGTACGCTGTGGAATAGTTTGTCGTGAAATTCGTAAATTCGTTTGGGGGTTCCGGTCGGATTGTATGGCAACTCAAGAATTTCTTTCACATAGGCTTTCACGATTTCACTCTGCTTCCCAAACCGATCTTTTAGGATCGATATAGCTCTGTTGTATCCTTCAACTGAATGGGGCAAGGCCTCGACTGTTTTCCTGACTTTGGCGTTCAGCAATTCTCTTTGGTACGTGAACTTGGTCACAGGCGGCACATTAGTTTTGTCAATAGTTTCGGAATATTGACCCCAGAATCTCGGCCAGTCGGCGTAAGTCCCATTAAACTTGGTAATGACGAGCTTGGGTAGTTTCGCTCCACCAACAGAGGTTTCCACGGACGAATTTAGGTTTCCAGCCTTGATTTGAAGGTCTTCCTGTAATTTTAGCTTCGTCTCATGAAGTTTGATTTCGAACTGCATTTTCTCTTCTCGTTCTTGCCTTTCTGCTTCCATTTTTCTATTTGCCAACCATTATTCAAGGTTTTCGATGTGACCGTCCGCTTCTTCTATTTTTTCGGTAATCACATCATTCCAATCGCTAATATCTCAATCGTTGAATTTTGCCTCTATCTTCAGTGCTTCAACCGTTCTTCTAGCACTGTCAACTTCAGCGAAAAGTTCCTTTAGATTCGTCAATTGTCTCTTTATTGCAGACTGTTTCTCGCACTTGAGGGCTTGATCGGCCTTTTCTTCAGCTCTTTGAAGTTGTTTTAATTTGGTTTTGAGTGTAGATTCGGCGTTATCCATGGTTTGAGGTTTAGGCGTTGATGCGTCGGCTTCGCTATTTGTTCGAATCGTCAAGGTATAAGGTAAATTGAGGACGTTTAAATTTTACTCACAAGGTCCCTTCGTGGTCGCCACGTTTCCTGGAATTCTCTGGCCGCAAGAGAGAGTGTCCAAGAGAAGTCTCTTGGAACTTCGCTATCTGCTCTACCAGCTGGGCGACCGCAATTCGTGAGGATTCAAACCTCATTTTATTCAACATGGCTACAAAATACCGCTCTTACAACAGAGTAGAAAGACATTTCTGAGTATAATAAGGTGAGGAATCAAACCTCAGACTTTGCAATATGCTCTACCACCTGAGCTTGATTAAAATGTGGGTCGACCTTTGTAAGAAATTATACGTTAGACGTGTGAAATGAAAATATCCGGTCGTTGTCTTTTATGAGGATTCAAATCTCAGATCTACCGATTTTGCTGTCATATAATCTTCATGCTTAAGAATATGGAACTTGTGCAGGAAAATCAAAGTAACTGGGTCAACGACGATAAGGATTCAAACCTTGGACCTTAAAACTTCGCATTCTGCTCTACTAGCTGGGCTACTAGCTGGGCAGGAAACCTCAGACTTTACAATATCGGTATCAAATGCTCTACGTCCTCTACCAACTGAGCTCAGATAAAATGTGGATCGACATTTGTAGATAAATTACACTATCTCCCACAACAAGAGGGGGTAGCGGCTTTGCTTTCTTATCATGGTACCTCTTGTTCTGTCGCTTCTTCTTGGCTGAAGCTCGTATGATGCTTGAGGTTGGTATCACGTGGGGTTAAAGTAACTCTGATTTCACTGGTATAACTCTTCTTGTTCTTCTGGAGTTCAATTTCTCATTTGGTGATGCCAACTCATCAGGTGTATTCCTTTGTTCCAAAATAGCCATCCAGGGGTCTAGACTCATCTTGAGTATCCTCTTAGCTTGTTTGACTGCAGCTTCCGCTGTACCGTTTCCTTTTGGATGGTGTGGTGATGAGGTATAGTGATGAAAGTTCCAACTCTCTGAAAACTCCTTAAATTCCTTGCTAGCATATTGAGGACCATTGTCTCATATCACCACCTCAGGGACTCCCTGCCGGGTGAAAATATTCTTCGTCTGTAAGATTGTGGACTCGGCATCAGTATCATTCAGTTGCTCTAAGTCCCAGTATTTTGAGAGATTATCCACAACTACCAAGTAGACGTCTTTCTTCACATTGAAAAGATCAGTACCGACTATTTGCCATCTTCTCTTTGGAATTGGTTGGCTCTGCATGGTTTCTCTAGGTTGATCTGGCTTAGCTTCCTGACATATTGAACAGTTATCTCAGAGATCTTTGATATCATGATGAATCGATGGCCAATACAATGTATCTCTTGCGAGTCTCATGCATCCCTGTGCTCCTAGGTGAGCGGAATGTGTTTTTTCTAACATCGGTGGGCGCATAGCCGTGGGGATGAGCACTCTCGTTCCTCTGTAGATTATTCCATCCTGAACTGCTAGTTCATCTCTATACGGCCAGTAGTCTCGGACATTGGGCGGTACTTGCGTCTTGTCCTCAGGCCATCCATTAGCTATAATTTCAGCTAAGGTCATGAGATTTCCATCTTTTGAGGTTGCTGTTGCTACTTCCTGAAGGGTTGCATCTGTCATGTTATGAAAGATATTTGGATCTGTTCCTTCGATCTCTTTCATGAGAAGTTCTTCTGCGTGAAGTGTAAAGACTTCATAATCATCTATTTCCTTCTTTTGCGTTCGGCCGTTTGGGAGGGCAGATCTTGACAGATGATCACTTATGTACATCTGAGTTCCCTTTTTGCACACAATATTCAGGCGGTACTTTTGCAGTCGTAGCATCATGCGTTGTAACCTCTTGGGCGCGCTGTTGATACTTTTGGCAAGTATGGTTTCTAGAGGCTTATGATCTGTGACTGTTGTGATCTTTTCTCTTCCATGGAGATAGTGGTCAAATCGTGTACAACCAAAGACCAGTGCAAGGCATTCCTTCTCGATCTGAGAGTAACGTCTCTCAGTCTCAGTCATAGTGCGGCTAGCAAATGCCACTGGTCTGCCAGCTTGAAGTAGAACAGCTCATAGTCCATAGTCACTTGCATCTGTCTCAATCGTTACTTCTTCCTCCAAATCGTAGTAACGGAGTAGTGGCGGTTCTGAAATCAGCTGAGTCAACTTGTTAAAGGCATCTTGGTGAACTTTCGATCAAATGAATTGGTTTTGCTCCTTGGTTAGGTTTCTGAGAGGTTCAGTTACGTCGGACAACTGAGGTAAAAATTCGCCCAGATAATTGATCATTCCAAGTAGTCTTCTTACTGCGTGGTCTCGGCATCTGAGTGATGGCTTCAACTTTGGCTGGGTCTGGTAAAATACCCTCAGAAGTCAAGATATGACTACAGTACTTCAACTTCTGTTGTTTGAAGACGAACTTGTCCTTGTTTAGTTTGAAGTTTCGCTCCCTGCATCTCTGTAGCAACGCAATCAGATTTCAGTCATGGTCTGCCAAGGCTTCTTCATGGGTGTTTCCTGCTCCAGTTACTAACAAGTCATCAGCTATAGAAGTTACTCCTTACAGGCCCTCGATGATTTCATTTACATGTCTCTGAAATTCTTCTGGTGCACTACATATGCCGAAAGGCATCCTAAGCCAATTGTATCTACCAAAAGGGGTGTGAAATGTTGTTAATTTGCTAAAGTCCTCTTCTAGCTTCACTTGCAGAAACCCATCTTTAGCCTCCAGGACTGTGAACACTTGCGCTTTAGCAAGCCTGGAGGTCACATCATCGATGGTTGGAAGGCAGAGCTTTGGTATTTTGATATGCTTGTTCAATTCTCTGGGATCCAGGCAAACACGTAGTTGGCCATTGCGCTTCTTCACATATACTGCACTGCTCACTCAGTCTGTTGGCTTATCAACTTTCGCTATGTGGCCTTTCTGCTCCATTTCATAAAGTTTCTTCTTGAGGCGCATCTTTTTTCGGTATTGCTCCTATCTGTTAGTTCAATCTTGTAATTTCCAATGTACCATAGCCCAGTGAATACATCGTTGTGTTCTTGTAAAATGTCATCCTTGGTCAACCCTTTCACGTTGGAAACTGAGTTGACGAATAATTCTCTTTTAATAGACAAGAGTTCCAACTCCTCACACATTTTTCCTGATAACAGTGAACTTGGAGCATCATCAATCACTAAGAATTTTGCTCTGGTTATTTTTCCACCAATCTGGATGTCAAGGTAGATTTCACCTTTGGGAAACACACGTTCTCCATTGTACGCTTTCAAAATGGCACGAGTTTTCTTCAAGTCTGGTCGATTTTGAATCTTTATAAAATCTTCCATTCTCAAGCAATTAGCCTCTGATACGCTATCAATGTGCATGGTCACCTCAATCCAATTACTTGTCTGTCCACTTCTCAGCGGAGGTTGAATCATGTATTTAGAACGGCTGCTGTCAATGACTGAATACATGCATTAAACTTCATCATCAGTGATTGCTGGTTCGGCTTCTTCAATTCGATGAATACTCCTCGTAGGTTTCTTGGAAACGCTCTTCACAGGTTTCTGTGTTCTCCTTTGAGATTCTTGATCTCGACTTCTGCACATCTTAGCAAAATGGTTCTTCATGTTACACTTGCTGCATATTTTTCCATAAGCCGGACACTGGCGCAAATTGTGGTTCGTTCTACAATATTTACATTATTTCACCGTTTCTACTCGTCGTGTAAAATCTGGTTTCTTTCCTTTGTACTTGACGGCGTGTACTCAAGTTTCTATTTCTCCATCAATCTTTTTTCAGTTGATCGCTGGCTATTTCTGCAGCTCTAATTATGTCTAAGGCTATATTGAGAGTGACAGCTTTCTCACGGAGTAGTCGTATTCTGACTTCATGGCTTTCGATTTCAATGACCAGTCTGTCTCGAATCAGTTCGTCACACAGAGCGCCATA